GTCGTACGTCTCTTTTTTTCAGCGCTTGACTGAATCTCCTCCTTCTCTCTCTTCCACCACCCAAGAAAGAAGTTCCCCACGGTCACTGGATCAAAATGCAGGCACTTGGCAATTGGCTCATATGTTTACTTTACTTTACTTTATTGTCATTGCACCTCATACAACGAAATCAAACACCATCTTCAGTGTACACTATGACTATGAAAATAAAAACAAACACACATCCTTCACATTCTCTACACTGAACTGAAAATCCCTGGTGCTGCATTAATATTGCACTCTGCAGTGGAATTCAATAGAGTTGCTGCCCTGGAATAGAAGCTGTTTTTCAGCCTATTTGTCCTTGTTTTTGTTATCCTGTACTGCAGGGGTATCCAAACTCTTTGCAAGGAGGGCCAGATTTGGGGAGGTGAAAATGTGTGGGGGCCGACCATTCAGGGGAACCGCTGTGCGGTGAAGGGAAAAACGCCGGCCAGCGGGGGAAGTGTGACAGGCTGAGTTGGCGGGGAGAAGAAGCTGCAGGCCGCTCGATATTTGAAAACGGGCTGCAATTGGCCCCCGGGCTGGACTTTGGAGGTGCCTGCTGTACCGTCTGCCAGAGGGTTACAGTTAAAAAAAAGGGGTGCCCAGGATGAGAAGGACCTTTGAGAATGTTTTGAATTTTCTGAAGGCAGCGGGAGCTATAAAGCTCTTCCAAAGAGGGGAGAGGGCAACCCATGATCCTCTGGGCAATGACGTCAACCCTCTGGAGTGCTTTCCTATCTGCCCCTGTGCAATTGGCAAACCATGCGTAGGTGCAGTAAGTTAAAGATACTCTCTATGGTGCAGCAATAGAAGGTCCCAAGCAGTTTTTCATTCGGTTGTTGTTTTCTGAGAAGTCCCAGGTAGAACAATCTCTGCTGGGCCCTTTTGACCAGGGCTGCAATGTGAGCATCCCAGGTCAGGTCCTCTTTTAGGGTAACACCCAGAAACTTAAAACTGGCCCTTCGCTCCACTCGGTCTCCATTGATAAGCAAGGGCTGGATGTCTGATCTGTTCCTTCTCTAGTGCACCATAAGCTCCTTGGTCTTATTGGAGTTGAGGACCAAGTTATTGTCTCCACACCACGAAAGCAACCGGCCCACCTCATCTCAGTAGGCAGATTCATCCAACAGACTCATCCCCCCCCCCCCGAGATGAGTCCCACCACTGTTGTATCATCTGCAAATTGAGTATGTATGATGATTGCTGTGTCCTGAGGTCATGTAATCAACTTCGGTGGCCTTCTGACATTTAGTTGTGCTGGGAAACCCCAGAGGGATGTTCTGTCAGCTGCATTGGTTGCCGGAGAAGACAACTTCTTAGGGAGCATCAGTGGGGAGAAGGCCAGCCCAAGATTTTCTGGTCTCTCACATGGGATCTAGCGGTGTGTGTGTGTGTGTGTGTGTCCCATTCTCTTTCGAGGCTGCTTTTCTTTTCTGAGGCTTCAGAACTTTTTTTGACTGCTCCTCCAATCTGGGGAGTTTTTGAAGGAAGCCAGGTTGGGTTAGAACTTTGTCCCAGATGTTTCCATGTGCTCATCTTCAAAGGGACGTAGGAAGAGAGGGGACAGTGTGCTTATAGAAAAAGGATGCTGTTTTGTGGGCAATAACATTCACATTTTGGACGGGGAAGATAGATGGTTTGAGAGAGTTCTTCTGGAGACCAAAAAAGCTTGGGGCCAGTCTTCTCCTCCCAAGAAGTTGTCTTCTCTGCCACCAGTTTTGGTCACCACACTATAAAAAAGATATTGAAACTCTAGAAAAAGTGCAGAGAAGAGCAACCAGGATGATTAGGGGACTGGAGACTTAAGGCATACGAAGAACGGTTACCGGAACTGGGCCTGGCTGGTCTAGTGGAGAGAAGGACCAGGGGAGACATGATAGCGGTCTTCCAATATCTGAGGGGCTGCCACAGAGAGGAGGAAGGATTCAATCTATTTTCTAAAGCACCTGTAGGCCAGACAAGGAATAATGGATGGAAGCTGAACAAGGAGAGATTCAAACTGGAAATAAGGAGGAACAATCAACCCATGGAACAGAAGTTGCCCTTGAAAGTTGTGGGAGCGCCATTACTTGAGACTTTCAAGGAGAGATTGGACTCCCATCTGTCAGAAATGGTGTAGGGTCTCCTGCTTTGGTAGGGGGTTGGACTAGATGACCTACAAGGTCCCTTCCAACTTTGATTATCTGTTAACCAATGCAGCTGGTAGAACGTATCTCTGGGATTTCCCAACCCAACTTGGAGAGTCTTTCTTGGGTGGTGGAAAAGAGAGGAGATCCAGTCAGGGCCACGGCTGTTGCAAGACTCTACAGCATGCGGTATGCCTTCTGGGGTTCCCCAACGCACCACAATTGCAGAGGTTGTGAATTGGGCGGCTATCCTGGAGGAACATCGCCTTGCAGACGTTTTATTACCCAACTAGGTAACATCATCAGTGCTGGTAAGGAGTGGGGTTTGCTCTCCGTTTATATCCATATTATATTGTAGCTCAGGGTTGACATGAGGGCTCCTTGGGAGTTGGCTTGTTTCCTCTTGCAGACGTTTCATTACCCAACTAGGTAACATCATCATGGTTGGTAAGGAGTCATGTTTGCTCTCAGTTCATACAAGTATTCTTTGACTTACAACCGTTCATTTAGTGACCGTTTAGTTACAACAGCACCGAAAAAAGTGACTGACCGTTTTTCACACTTATGATCTTGGTGCCTTAACCAGTACAGGTGGTCCTCGACTTATGACCAGAATTAAGCCCAACATTTCTGTTGTTAAGTGAAACATTTGTCAGGTTGAGTTGCCCCATTTTACGACTTTTTTTGCCACGGTTGCTAAGTGAATCACTTAAATTGTTAAGTTAGTAACACGGTTGTTAAGGGAAGCTGTCTTCCCCATTGACTTTGCTTGTCAAAAGGACACAGGAGGGGATCACGTGACTCCAGGACACGGCCACCGTCATAAATATGAACCACTTGACAAGCGTCCAAATTTTGATCACGTGACCACAGGAATGCTGTAATGGCATAAGTGGGAAAAACGGTCATAAACCACTTTTTTCAATCCCATTGTAACTTGGAACGGTCACTAAATGAACTGTTGTAAATCAAGGACTCCCTGTAGACTAAATTGAATGAATTTGTGGCTGATTGGCTCATCCTTGGTGCTCATTTTTCTTTCGTGCGTTATATTTAATGTCTTTTGTTCTTCTATTGATATTTTTATTGTGTTGGCTGACCAGAGCCACTTTATCTGAGCTGGACGGTCATAGATTCTAATTAATAAATTTCTAAAAGTTTTGAATCTGTAGAAGAGGCTGAAATATGCATTGAATTCTTGCAAAATGCTTTCAAGTTTCCTTTTTAAGCTTTCAAAGATAGCTAGTCCAGAGGGAGGGGGAGGACAGACCCCCCCTTCTTTTCACTCCTCCATGTCCCCAAAGCATGCACTATAATATGGGAGGCATCTCTCTCATAAATCAGGGATCTCCCCATTCTTGGGCCATATTGGGCACCTGAAGAGCCCAGAGAGGATCTGTGAGAAACAGGAGAAGCTGCCCTTCTGCAAGGGGACCAGGACGGCTCTGGCCGGGCATTGAACTCGTGTCTCCCAAAGGACCCCTGGGTGAGGCTCAAAGATCAGCCACTTGGCCAAGAGTCTGAGGCAAAGGTGGATTTGAAGGGAAAGCAGCCTCTGTTGCTGCCACCCCCAAGCCAAGACCAAGTAGCCATTTTACAGAAGATCAGCTGGTGATGCTGGAGAAACTTCTGGAGACAGGAACAAACGGCTGCCTCCTCCCCAAAGGAGAAAACAGGAGCCCCCCCAGTTCTCCCCTTGATTCCTCCCCTTCCTATCACTCAGAGCGAAATTGGGGTCCCTGATCAACAAGGAGGGGGAAAATCTTTGTTATTTCCAACTTCCAATAAGAGGCAGAAATTGTCAGGTAAGAAGAAATCAAAACCATTTATTTTCAGCAAACAATTTTGGCAAACTTTATAATATATGTGCCATTGTTAAGGACGTAGCAGCCTGACTCTGCAATTGATCTCATGTTTCATTTGTCTAAATCATGAAAATCCATAAATGGCAATCTATAAAAAATGAGTGTCAAATGCTATACTTGGTGTATTGATTATTTGTCAAACTTTGTTATCAAATATATGGTGAAATAACCGTGCAATAATCAATTAAGAATGCATCAACTATTTTAGTGACAAAAATCTCAAAATGCACATTTATTCTTTTAGTAACAGTTTCATTGAAGATTACATTAAACAGATATACAAGAAAAAGAAATGTTATCTTTATCCCCAACAAGTATAATGAAAATTAACAGCTTATCAATCTTTCTTTTTTTAAAAAAAAACAAGTTTTATTAATTCTTCAAGACAGACAATACATAAATACACAAAAATACAAAACATAAAAGCGTAAAAAATCTCTTTTCTGAAAGTTGCTTAGTCCCGGGTTATAACTCTTGGTACAGACACAAATTCAAATTCATATTCCTTTTATATACCATTTCATATTTTATTAACATTTTCAATTTTCTGTATAACTTCTCCTCTCTTTTAAATTTTCTCAATTTTATTTTATTTATCTCCTCTCAATTCAGATCATAATATTGTTATTCTTTGTCTGTTCTATTTCCAGCCATCCATTTATTTTCTTCTTTAAAAAAGAAGAAAAACTTCTCCTGTACACTATATGGAGTATGATGCCTTTATCTCTTTCCCCTATATTTGTAATACTTAATATAAAACACATAACTTACATTGGGATTCTGTCTGGTACATTCTAAAATTATACTATGTTATCAAAAATAATACAAATCTATTCATTAGTATTGATATTCATTTATATCTTAAACGTTTAACACATTACTTTTCAATTAAATCCCATACTTTTATGGGAGCCCTATTTTCCATAGTTATTCCCCCCCCCCCCACATCACATATTATAGCTCATTATTTCATTACAATGTTCCTCCTTCTTCTACTTCAAATCTCTCATTTCACACAAAAATTCGCTAATATACCATAATCTAATCATTATCAATCTTTCTTAAAGTAACACCAATGTAGCCATTGGTATTCATTGTATTCTTCATTGTATTCATTGTATTCCTCACCCCATTTTCTCTAAACCTGTCTCTAAAACCTCTAATCTTTAACCTCTAATCTCTATCCACTAAGATTAATCAGCAAAAGCCCATTAAGGCTGTTATGCAACCTATCTATTATAAACTATCTACGAAACCCTATTTGAAATCTTAACACATAATACATCCTTTTCTCCTCTGCTCCTCAACATGATAGAAAAAGTTTACTGATTCAGCGATAAAAGCAGTGATGAAAGACCCAAAATCTATCCTGGTTCCAGCATGCAGGAAAGGCCCGAAGAACCCGGCCTAATTCAGGAGAAGGCTGATCCCTCTTCATTCCTCTCTCTTTATGCTGGGAGTCTCCACTGGGAGGAGGAGGGAAGAAACACCCAAGGGTTAGAGGGACCAAGACAGGCAGAGCCTGAGAGGCATCACAGGATCAGAGTTTGGGGCAGGAAGACCCCTCCCCGAGCCCCCCACCAGTCCACTCACCTGCAACGGGGATGCTAAACGGTCTTGTTGCTCCCTGGATTGGAGAAAAAGACACAGAATGAATGAATCTCTTGTCCTGTGAGGAGGAGCTGACTGTCGGGTATCTGAGGCGCATGTGCGGGGCACGTGCATGTGCAGGGGAGGGGGTTGCACATGCATTGCATTATGGGTGCAGGCACGTGTGCACACGCCCTCCCACGCACTTTCGGCACGCAACAACGAAAAGGTTAACCATCAGTGCCCTACACCATTTCTGACAGATGGGAGTCGAATCTCCTCTCGAAAGTCTCAAGTGATGAAGCTCCCACAACCTCTGAGGGGAAATTCTGTTCTGTCAGAAAGTTTGTCAGAAAGTTCTGTCAGAAAGTTTCTCCCTTATTTCCAACAGGGAGACTTTTCCCTTCTCCTCTGCAGAACAAATCAGGGCAAGTAAAGTGAATTTTGTGACACCCGGCTGACTTTCATGCCTAAGGCAGGACTAAAACTCCCGGACTCCCTTGGCGCCCTTACCACTAAGTCAAAGTGGGCGCAATTATGCTAATTACTCCACCAGAATCAGATACAGAGAGATCACAGGGAGGATGAACCAGGAGGGACTTTAAAAGGGGGGGGGCTCTCTTCTTTTCATCCCCTCGTTCACTCAAAGTCATGCAAAGGGACAGAATGGCTCATGCAGCAGCAGCACTTCCCTCCAACTTACCCTGGTCTGAACTGTTGGAGTCCGTGTCACTTCCTGAAATTAAAGCTGAGGGGAAATTTTTTGAAGCATTAAATAAGATATTAAAATCTGTATGGCAAGTTTAAAAAGCGAGTATACAATTAAAAATGCTACAAGATGTTAAAAGTAGAGGTGAGTTTTGGTCTTCCAGATTGGGAACTATACTACCAAGCATCGGCACTTACGTGGATGAAAGAGTGGATTAATTTGAGGAATACAAGATTACTAACACTGGAGGGTCATGATCTGCAATTGGGATGGTACAAGAAGGGGGAGATACATATTTACAGAGGGACTACATTAGGAATGCATTACTGTTAGTACAGACTAAAATTTAAGAGCAACATTATTTGAAAATACCAGTTTGGTTGCAGGGGTGGGATTCTACCGGTTCTGTCCACTTCTGTAGAACCTGTTGCTATGAAAAGCAGCAAACAGAGAGCATACATAGAACCGGTTCTATGTCTGCTGCTGTTTTGGCCACCCGCCCAGCCAGGCTCTTGCCTGACCTTTATTTCCTGCGTTTTCAACCGCAGCTGCTTTGCGCGACACAGCTGCGGTTGAAAAAGCAGGAAAAAAGTGATTTTTCAACTGCTGCGCAGTTGCACGCAGCGCTGCTCGGCTGTCCGGGCAGCTCAGCAGGTCGTAAATTCCACTCACGCCTCTCACGCGACTCATGCATGCGCACACGACGCAGAGGGACAGAACCAGTAGTTATACCGGTCAGATCCCATCCCTGAGGCATTGGTGCATCCAAATGTTATGAACATGGAAAAAATTATAAGATACAAGGACATACTAAATGAAAGGGGAGAACTAAAAACTAAGCAAGAACTAAAGAGATTAGGGATTGACCTATCATAGTGGCCACAATTACAGATACAACCCAGATATGAAAAAGATAGGAAGGTGCCTGGGTTTTATAAAGAACCAAATGAGCTAGACCAGATTCTAATAGGAACAGATGAAAAATTAACTGAGGATATATAATTATTTATTAACTATTAAATTGGAGGAAGAACAAGTAAAATAAACTCTGATAACTTGGGCTAAGAATTTTGGCTATACGATAGAATTAGACAAATGGCAGAAATTATGGGATCTACAAACTACAGGTTTACACTGTCAACAGCGTATAAGGAAAATCTCTATAAAATGTTTAATAGGTGGCACTTTTCACCTGCAAGAATAGCAAATATGTACAACGATAAATCTGTTAAATGTTGGAAATGTAACCAAATACCAGGTTCATATGTGGTGGATGTGTCCCAAAGCAAAAAAATATTGGAATAAACTTCGAAGCTATGATAGAACAACACATAAGACTTCAAACCTGAGATATTCCTGTTGGGCATGCTACCAGGAAATTATAATATAATTATAATATATGTAACACATATCTAATTTTACATATTTTAAAAGCAGCCCGGATTGTATACGCACAATACTGGAAAAATGAAGAAACCCCCACAGACGAGAATATAATAAAAAAAGAACTGGAATGTGCAGAAATGGGTAGGTTAACGTTAAAAATCAAAGAAAAAGAAGACTCTAAATATTTTCCCCTCATCCACCCAAAGTCTTGGAAAGAGACAGAGCGGCTCATGCAGCAGCTCCCTCCAACTTACCCTGCTCTGAACTGTTGGATCCTCCGTCACTTGCTGGAAAAGAAAGAAAAAGAGGGTGAGAAAGTCGCTCTCTTGGCTTATAGATGGAGCATCTCAGCTCTTTCTCCCTCCAGCTCCCTCCCTCCCTTTCTCTCTCTCTCTCACAGTCAAAGACCCATCAATACACGGAGAGAGTTTGAACCAAACGGCTTTTGCTAAAAGGCCTCAGAAAGAATTCTTAAAATTTATATGTATATCACACAAAGCCAGAAGTCAGAGCTGATCTAAAAAGAAACAGATGGATCCAAGGTTTCTTTGAGTAACCAGTTCGTACTTAGAGAGCCTTGTGATGGGAGACCAAGAGGAGATCCAGCTGGCATCCCCCAAAAGCTACTTTTCCCTCAAAATGCCCCCTTTGGATCCCTGATTTTATGGAGCTTCTGAGTCTCATTTGGCCAAGCCTTTCCTTTCTGCCTCCTTAGGAAACAGAGCATGTTTTCAGTCAGGGGGACCTTCCACCAGCCGCGTCTTCTCATCTTCTTGAAGGTTCCTTGTCCCAGAAGTTTCTCCCTCAGGACTCCACTTCCAAGAACAGCCTGGCTGTAATGAAAAGGGGGCCCATCTTCCCCAGCCTGGTTCTTAGCATGAAGAGGAAGATAGCACATGCAAACATACACACACACACCCCTCTCAACTAATGGTGCCTCTGGTCCCTGCTCTAAGTTGGAGATTACATGCAAAGAGGACAAATCACTCACTTGGCGTTGCTTTGTAGTAGTCTTGACGTTTCTCTGCAAGGATAAAAATCAGTGAAAGATCAAAAGAATCTACCAGAGATCATCCAAACAGTCCTCCTATAAGAGGAAGAATCCCAGGAGATGCTTCACAGTCACTTTGTCCCATTTATAAAGACAAAAAGATCTTCAAACTACAAATGTATCTCCCGATTTGGCCCAAGAGAGACCTGTTGCTTCTCAGATGGATGGAGGGGAATTGGGGGAAGCAGCAGCCACAGCAGCTGGGAAGGGAGGAAGGTTTTCATGGAAATCCTTCTCTGCTGCTCTTTGATCAAGGCCTTTGAGTGGGAGGGAACTGAGATGCCTCTTTTCAACTGAAGAGAAGACAGGAGCGTCCCAACCTCAGACTCAGTCTGAGTCTAAACCGGAGTCCCAGTGAGAGGCTGAAATAACACATGCTCCCCTAGAGGGCTGGGAAAACAGGACAGAAAGAAGCCCAGAAGAAGCTCCACAAAGGGGGACACTTGGGAGAAATCTCCCCATCTTCCTTCCATCACACACTCCCCCCCACCCCAAAAAAAACCCCAATACTTACTGAAGAACTCCATGATCCTAGGTTTCTTAGAGGCCAAGACAACAAAAACCACCAACACCAGGACAAAACCACCCACAACGCAGCTGATGATGAGTGAAAACAGGACAGAAGGAAGCCCAGAAGAAGCTCCCCAAAGGGGGTCCTTCCATCCCCCCCCTCAAAAAAAGATACTTACTGAAGAATACCAGGATCCCAGCAATCACACCCACCAGGACAAGAGCAGCCAGAACGCAGCCGATGATGATCCCCAGGTTGGATTTTGGTTCTGAATTGGGAGAAAGGGCAGATCATTGAAGGAGAAGCCCAAACAATCTTCCCAAGAGAGACCTAAAGAAGGGAAAGCTGGAAATTCCCCAAAATTAAAAACACCATGAGCTCATTTTTGTGTCCTTCTCAAGGTAACATGAAGGAGCCTAACATGAAGAGCAACCACAACGCAGCCGATGATGAGCCCCATGTAGAGTTTTGAATTGGTTGGTTCTGAATTGGGAGAAAGAGCAGATCATTGAAGGAGATGCCCAAACAATCATCCTAAGTCATGAGTCTGATGCAAGAAGAATTTAAAATCTTCCTCTTCTACCCAAGGGCCCCCTTGCCCTGAAATATCCTGTTTCAGACACTTGAGGGACCTCCAAATGCTTAAAGCAGGGGTCTTCAAAATTAACAGCTTTAAGACTTGTGGACTTCCACTCCCAGAATTCCTCCTCCAGTCATGTTAGCCCAGGAATTCCGGGAGTTGAAGTCCACAAGTTTTGAACTTGCCAAGTTTGAAGACCCTTGGCGCAAAGTTTGAAGACCCTTGGCTTAAAGAAGGGGAATCAAGAGTCAATTTGCGAGATGAAGGCCTCAGGGCTACAAACTCTGAGATCGTGACCCGAAGGTGCTTTTTCCAAGAGGTCACTGGACTTTCTTTCTTATTTTTTTTCTTTTGAAGACGTTTCGCTTCTCATCCAAGAAGCTCCTTCAGCTCTGACTGGATGGTGGGGAAATGGAAGGATTTATATTCAAGGCATAAGCTTGTCCACCCCAAGGATAAAACACCCAGAGACAAAATGAGCAACGTGGTATATGCAGCACTATGCAGTGAGACACGTGCAGATCTGCACACTGGGGAAACAAAACAACCACTTCATAAATGCTGGAGGCAGGAAACTGGGGAGGAGCAGAGGCTAAGAGAGGATCTGAGGGAATTTCATCAGGATCGGCCAACTCTTGTGATGGGATCCTATAGTTTCCTCTACATCCCCTGAAGCCAGTTCTGTGGTCTGGTCCCTGCAGCTGCACCAAACTCAAACACTGGAAAAACCAATGGATGAAAGCTCAGGTATGCTCACATCTGGACACATCTGGGGCCAGATTCCTCTCCCACTACCTCCCAGCCTGCCAAAGAGCCCAGCCTTCCCCTCCCTGCAGCCTCTCACCTTCCAGGGCCAGGTCCAGAGGCTCCAGCAGGCCGTTGTGCTCCACGTGGCAGTGATAGCGGCCCCTCTCTTTGGGGTCGATCCGGATGCTGAGCCAGTAGTGGTAGGTCCCATCCGCGTTGGGGGCCACAGACTTATGGAGGGTGTCCTGCAGCCAGACCTCCCCGTCCCTTGTCCAGAAGGCATCGATCTCCCTGGGGTAGAAGCCGTGGACCTGGCAGATGTGCGTCTCCATCCCATCCTCCACCTCTGTCTTGCTTCTCTCCACCGTCGCCGCTGGGGGCTCTGCAGAAACGGCACCCCCAGAATTAACTCTCAGCCCCTCCAGAGCCTGGAAGGGGGATCAAAAAACTGAAGGGGCAGGAAAGTCTCCCACCACTTAGTTTTAACCCAAAGATTTGCTGCTGATCCACACAGACACTTGATCCTGGCCGGCCACAACTACGGCTTGCAAGGGGAGGAAGTGTATTTCATGTTAATGGCTGCCCGACAATAAGAACCAAACCGAACTCCCAGCATCCTGGAGAGGTGCTGGGAGAGGAGGGGAAGGATTCTCTTCAGGGCAAACAGGCTCCAGACAAGGGACCCAAAGGGGTCCGAATGTGTGCAACAAATCCGGCCATAAAGGAGGAAAGTCCAGCCTGGACCCAGATGCTCACCTGTCCTCAGCAGCGTCTCATTCCCGTAGAACAGGTACTTCTCCAGCCACCCAATGCATTCCTCCTCCAGGTAGAACTTGTCTCTCTGATTATATCCTGGAAGAGCATCCCATTTCCTCTGGGTGATCTGGGCCTGGGGGACGGGAGCCACCCAAGTGAGGGTCTCCTTGTCGAAGGTGATGAAAGTCTTCCCTTCATAGCCATACTGCAGAAACCCTCCTTTGCTCCTGTCTCTCTGGAGCTCACAGCCATACATCCTCTGCCATGTGTGAAGGCCTGAAATAGGAACAAGATGATGGTTTGGGGAGTCCCCAGGTGAGACAGAGCCCCTCTCCCCTGCTGGGACACTGAGACAGGAGGAACAGAGCAAGAAAAAGGATAAAAAATGGTTGGAAAATGAAATACATTTTTCCCTATGAAGCTATTCAGGTCCCTATAGATCAGAGGTCGCCAACCAGTGGTCCACGGCCCACTGATGGTCCACGAGAAAATTTTGATGGTCTGCAGAGAAATATCACCCCCAGAGCACCCCCCCAAAGCAATCAATCCAGGCTGCGTGGGAACTCAAGACTGCACTGCCCACATGGCCTGCAGGAATCCTCCCACTCACTTCCTACCTGGCAAACTTGCCTGCTAAGTTGCTGTTTTTCCTTTTTTTTTTTTTTTTCCGACCATCAGCTGTTCTCCTGTGCCGGGAGATTTAGATTAGCTAGAAAGCAGGAAATCGTTGGATTTCTTGCTTTCTAGCCAATCTTTAGATCTAGCCAATCTTTAGATCTTCAGCTGTGCTTTTAAGCAGAGCCGAACCTCCCTTAGGACTGAATGTTCTATTATCCAGTGCAGACTCAGGTAGCCAATGGCAGAAACACAGATCTCTAAGTGAATCTGTGATTCTGTGAGTAACTCAATCTGCCTGCCTGCTTTGCCTGATTTTGGGTAAAAGTTGCTTTTTTTAACAAAAAAATCAATATTTATATAAATATTTATAATATTTATATACAAGCCATACCCAGCCAGTCACATGACCACCAAGCCACACCCACAAATTAGGACATGACCACAGAACCTATTGTTAAGAAATCTGAATCCCACCACTGTGTTTGTGTGTGTGTATCAGAGAGAGAGGTTAGATCAGATCTCTCTCTCTCTCTCTCTCTCTCTCTCTCCCCCACCAACGTCAGCAAGACACCGTCTGTCAAAAGTCATATTAGTGGTTCCCGGGATTTAAAATTATGAGTTTGGTGGACCCTGAGGTCCAAAAGGTTGGTGACCCCTGCTCTATATAATGAAGTTCTGATAGAAGCCAAGATGCCAGATTCATGGAGGGACGCACTTATTTCATTGATCCCGAAGGAAGATACAGATGCCAGACTAATTCAAAATTATAAACCAATTTCTTTATTGAATGCCGATTATAAAATATTTACCACTATTATAGCAAACAAATTGAAGAGGGTTCTGAATGAATATATTCATTCAGACCAAAATGGATTTCTGCCAGGCAGACAAATTAGGAACAATTTAAAGATAGTAATAGACACTTTGGAATATTACGAAGCCCACCCGGAGAAACAAGTCACCCTTGTCTTTCTGGGTGCCCAGAAAGCATTTGATAATGTCAATTGGCAATTCATGATACAACAGATTTATAATATGAACCTAGGCACTAAATTTGAGAACATAATAACAATATATTCCACAATGGCCAATATTATAGTTAATGGGGAAAATACCCAGAGGATAAAAATTGAAAAAGGAGTTAGACAAGGCTGTCCTTTATCCCCTCTGCTTTTTATACTATCACTTGAAATTTTATTAAGACGAATCAGGCAAAACCCGGAAATAAAGGGATTGAAAGTTTGAAAAGAATAATACAAATTGCAAGCCTTTGCGGATGACATGGTCTTTTTTTGTAGAAGACCTGATAGAGAGACGGAAAGAGTTAATTAGTGAATTAGAAAGATATGGGGAAGTGGCAGGTTTTGAAAATTAATAGAAAACAAAATTCCTAACCAAAAATTTAACAGAATTACAAAAAATAGAATTAGAAAGGGTAACTGGACTGCAAACAATAAAGAAAATTAAATATTTAGATATATGGTTGATGGCACACTGCAAAACAATAAAGGAGAATAATTATGATAAACTATTAAAACAAACAAAAAAAGATTTAGAATTATGGGCCAAATTACAACTATCACTACTGGGAAGGATAGCAGCCATAAAAATGTCTATCTTACCTAAATTCTTATATCTATTCCAAATGATCCCTGTTAGATTAAAGGAAGTATTTTTTGATGAACTTAAGAAAATTATGATAAAATTCATTTGGTTAGACAAAAAAATCTAGAATAAACATAAAGTCACTATGAAACATAAAAAGCAGAGGAGGATTTGGGCTACCAGCACTAATCTGGACGAAAGAATGGATCCATTTAAGTAATAAGAGAATATTAATTTTAGAGGGTCACGACCTACAAAGAGGATGGCATGCCTTTTTGTGGGAAACAGGGACCAGAAAACAATATTTTCATAGACATTTAATTAGGGACTCTTTATTTCAAAATTGGATTAAAATTAAGAAAAGACATTATATAAAAATCCCAATTTGGCTATCTACGATGGAAGCAATGATTCACCCAAATAACTTAGATTTGAGTAAGATGATAAAATATAAAGATATATTAGATACCCAAGGAAATTTGAAATCAATGCAGGATTATCAAAAACAAGGGATACAGATTGATTGGTGGACATTTCTTCAAATACAGAACAGGTACAAACAAGACATAAAAGATTTTGGAATATATCTGAAACTACAACAACTGCATAAAATTTTACTAGGCCCAGATTAAAAAAACATTACAAAAATCTATGAATATTTGCTGGAAGTAGACTTGGAGGAATTGATTGTTAAAGGATGCATGATAGCCTGGGCCCAAAATATCGGACACAACATAAATCTGAATGTATGTGGAGTTTCCCCAAGGAAAGGGGGATGGGCAAGGGAATTGAAAGACTCTGCCCTCCCTAAGGAAAAAGGCCAAGAGATTCAAGACGATTTCAACCCTGAAAACACCCCTTACTCTCTTAAGAGTTCTGTGTGTCTGAATAGTCCCCTCCCCTCCAATTCTCCAAAAAAAAAACCCAAAAAACCTGGCAACCCCATTTCCCCCCTAGTGTTCCATTGGCCTCTCCAATTGCCCCCCTTCTCCATCCTTGGCCTGGGTCTCTGAAGCTGGATGGAGCCCCTGATCCTCACCAGGAAAAGGGCAGTGGGTAAATTTCCCTTTGGCTTGGAGTTTTCAGACATTTTAGTACCCATAAACTGCACAGAGAAATTTTTGTTATTGGCCAAGGATAAACCGACATTCATTAGTGTAAAAGAAAGAAGAAACATATTTTAAAAATATTT